ACAAGAAAAGTTGCAAAGTGTACCAGCTGAAAGCGCAAAGCATAGACATGGTCAGACACAAAAAGATTCATCGGAGAACTAGGGGATCAAAAGATCTTCCCATATCTGCACATATCTGATGCTGGAATGTTATTGGACAATTTCTTCCTCCCCTGATTCATCTACCTCATAGATTCATATTACTTGATGGAGTTTAAAATGAAGAAAAGGAGGATCCTGAGCTGTAGCAGCAACAGAGAGGAGGTAGGGTAAAAGAAACAAGAACTAAGGCACATCTAAGCACTGCCTCAAACAGATAGTAGTGGGTGAAATTCCCTGAGATACCTATTATCTGAGTTAACTTGTAACTGTATTAGGCTTGTAGGGTAGTTCCTAGTCATCAAAAAACTCATCATTCTTAAATGAATAACTGCAGGTTGAATATGCAGGTAGAACCTAACAGCAGGAGCTAGACAGTTTGACAAAGATTGAAAAAGGGAAGTGAATGTGAATGGCTTGAGACGTCCTGAAAAAATAGGAGTACATTGAAAAAATAGCTGTGGCCTATATTAAAACAGTCAGAGAATTCAACTTCTCATCAGTTTATATTAATCAGAAAATAAAGATGATGACTTAGTGTTGAAATATTTATTTTGCAAGCAAATAAAATTTGTAATTGAAAAGAACTTGTCCTTTTCTTGAATATTATCATTAGGGAAGTAACATATGGAGCTTTTAGAAAATACAGAATTTCTTTCTTCTGCAGGTATTTTCCTACCCCTGAAGGGGGATTAAAGCAGAGACCTAGCACCTTTTTGTGTGGTGTTCTGTCCACTTGGCTCCAGAATCCCATGCATTTTCCCAGTGTGCTTTCAAAGTGGTTTAATGGACAAACAATTAGTCAGCTGGATGCCAAAGTTTCCATGACTTTTGTATTATGGTATTAAATTGTTTCAGTTTCAAATGGTTTAATTGAAATTAGTGCTTGGAGCAATTCTGAGAAGCAGTTCTTTGAAGCAGTCTACCCATTCTTTAGAATTTTTTTTTATTATTTTTTTTCCTAATTTATTGTTGTGTTCTCAGGGTATATTTCTCTTGAAAGACATGGTTTGACTGCAGAAACAATATGTTAAAATAATACCTCATTTAAACTAATCTCAGAGGGTGAGACTGTATTTGAACTACTAATGTACAGAGTAGCTACATGTGGTTTATAGGTCAAAGTATAATGGTGTGAGTATTTTTTTGATTGGTACAAATTCTAACCACTGTTGTCCACTTGGCTCCAGAATCCCATGCACTTGGGGAAAAATAATAATGTGGTTTTTAACGATGCCAAAGCACTTCAGGATATTGCTTCTCCAAATATTAATTCTTCTGTGCAAGTTCCACTTTCCTCTTAGTGCTGCCCCCAATTAAAGCTTTAAGCACTTAACCTGTAGTTGTGAAAAAAGCGGTTTATGATGGGTGTAATCTTATTCCCAGAGGTCTAATTATCTCAGTTGGTTCCCAATTAATCCATGAAGTTGTTAGGTCTTCCTTTTAATTAGATCTGTTCTTCTTGAAGAACAGTTTTATTTTTCATATTTCACTTTATTATTTCCTTCACTGGAACCCTGCAGGGTGGGAAATCTACTTTGAAATGTTCTTATTTGTTTGATTGCTGGTTGATGCTTAATGAAGATGATGATCTTTACCCTCTGTTTGCATTAAAGTTCAGTTTGAAGATTGGAATACAAGTCCTTTAAGCATGAAAATTAAATGTAAATATGTACCAAGTGAGAGAGTGAAGACTTTCTTTGTTCTAAAGATATTAATTTAATTTTTTTTTTCTTTTTCATGTTAAGGCATAATTATCTTTGGTCCAATCTCACAAGATTGAAATTGAGGTAATCCTAAACACAATCTGAATAAGAATTTTGCTGAGTTTATAGTGTTTTTTTGTTTTATTTATTTATTTAATCAATGGGTATATTTAAAAAGATGCATATATGAGGTAATTGGATATAAAGTCTTATTTTCCTTCTCACTTACACCTGTGAAAAAATCTTTTCATATAACAGGAATTTACAGGCAAGAATAGAAGCTACATTAAATAATCACAAAAACCACCCAGTAAATGGAATATTATCTGAAGACTGTTGGGAATTTCACTTACCCCTCCACTCCTGTGTCAGGTCTGCATGATAGAAAGTTGTATTGGTTTATCTGACAGTGTCCTTTCCTCTGTTGTGTCTCAGTGATATTCTCTTGCTGTATTCCATCAAAAAAGCAGTTTACCCACAGGAATGGTGGTTTACTTCTAGGAAAAAAGTGATCATATGTGTTTTTCCTAACTGGAATTTAACTAATCAATGAAACTCTATTCAATACATGTTACACAGTTTCACTGACCAAAATACTTTATTTTTGTGATATGCAATTCTGTTTTAAAGTCTTCATCACTTAGCAGTTTATTTTTGTATTAATTTTGCAGGTAGTGAAATGAATATCAGTTCAGAATTCACCATACCATTTAAGGATTTACTCAATAATCAGTTAGTATTATTTATGCATATATAGTAAAGTTCATGGAAGAAATCAGTATTCATTAAGAGAGGAATAAAAATAATAACCACTCATCTCCACAAACATGCTTTTTAATGAAATTACACAGGCTACATAAATGAGAATGGATTATAATTAGAGAGATGAGGCTGTGATACATTTTCTACAGTAATTGGTGGTAGTGTAGTGTAGTGTAGTATAGTGTAGTGTAGTGTAGTGTAGTGGTGAAGTGGTGGTCATAATTTTGTGGTTCTGGGAGGAAAAATATATAAAAATACTGGGTTAGCACATGTCTAGCTGCTAAGACATCTATTTCTTTTATCAATAATTAAGAACCATGAAAATAATTTATAATTCCCTCAGATTTCATTGTATCCCTTTAGACTTCAAACTTTGCAGAGATGCTTTGTCAGATGTTGTTCATAAAGAGAAGGTGGTGGTGTTTAGGATACTAAAGAGAACAGCAAGGTAGGGCCAAGAAATATATATTGTCTTCTTCCTGACCTCTGGATATTGGTTAAAAAGTGGAAGTCTGAAGGATTTTTTCAGCTCTTCAACTTTTGTTTAGGGCTCTGACCAAGGGTCTTCAACCTTAAGCCCTTCATATCTTTTGCCATAGAACAATACGGGCAGAAAAAACCTGGATTTTGTAGTTTAAGAATGTTAGACTCACTGATGATTTTAAATTTCTCTTGCAAGTGTGATAAGCAGACAAGAGACACTTGTGATTTGTCTTCCACCACCACCTTAGAATGAAGCAACTGATGCTGCGGTCTTGACATCTAAACCTTATGAATTTTTAGAATTTTTCTGGGTTCTGTGTTGGATGTCCTGGAATACAGGAATGCCTACTGTTCACCAGAAGCAGTTTGTGTGAAGCAGTTTGTGCAGTTTCAAGCCTCTGCACATTGTAAGCTCAGTCTCAGTCAGTGACCAGCTGTGTCTTCATTTCTACAATGCGCTCCTGATTCAAACAAGAATATTCATTAAGGTGAGCCCCTAGACACACCCAGGTTTTAACTGATCTGAATATGATTTCTGGCAGTCAAAAACCATTAAGCATGCCTGAACTATTGGTACCACATTGTTAATTTTATCAGAAGCTGTGTGTTACCTGATTTTCCTGCTAATGTGTATTTAGTTGCGTACTCTACAACTAAAGTAACTTTTCAGCTTCTAAGGGAAATATTTAATAAACACAAAAACAAACAAAGAAACAAATTGCTTAGGGCCAGATGGAACTGTATCAGGAAACTGAATTTGGTTGTAGCTATCTTTTAGGAATACAAGTGAGATATAACTACAGTGTCATTGCTGTGAACTTGTACCTAAATATTTAAGTTGAAATGGTCGCAAAGTGCCCAATGCTTTTTGTGATTGGACTTCACATATTCTGGTAGCTGTTCATTTAACCTTATTAACTCTCCTAACATCAGGTGTCTTAATTATAGCTAGTATGTACATAGATATAGATAGAATATTTGTCTAACCTAATGCAACATAAAGAACATGAAAGGAGAAGAAAACTGGTGTTTTAATGGAAAAAACTGATATTGTACCTTGTTCATACCTAATCCACAGTGTTTAGACTTTAAGGCAGGACCTTCCATCCTTTTCATCTACCCTAATCTTAAGCCTTCATCATGTTGTCATGATCTCAGGTCTAGCAGACTAGCAGTGATGCAAAACTGTATTAGCAAATGCCATTGATGCATGAAGCAGGTGGGCACAAGAGATGAAGTAGAACCAGCTTCCATACTTTCTGTCTGCATTAGAAATAATATCTTTATTGATACCCATGCAACTGGAAGTCTTGGAGAGAGAATAAAATTTAGTTTGAAAAAGTGTTGTAGTTTTCTAAGACAAATCATTGGCTTCTCCTCCATACAGACAAGGCTGTCAAATTTGCCAGTAGCTGTCAAGACTCTGGCCCTCAGTTATCAGTGCTCCCTTAAGTAAGTGAAAAGAAAAGGAAAGTCCAGCCCCAGATGCAAGTTAAGTGCACTTCAGGGACAATATGATAAAGCTGAGGTTTTGGCTGCTGGCAGATAGATTAAAAGGAAATGAAGAAATACTAATTTTGTGTAACTAAAAGAATTTATACAAATATTTATAAATCCACAGATATTTAAAAAATATTGTTTTGTGATTTATATTATTTTTATTAAGTGTGTGAAATTTTTAAGTTGATTTTTATTAAAATAGGGTTCTTAATTATGAAGTCTAACCTCTGAAATTGCTCAGAGAAACCTTTGTTCATTATGCATTAATTAGAAAGGCACCATTAGCATCTATGCTGTGAACTTTTCAGTGTAGTTCAAGACACATAGTAGTATAGCCAATTAAAACAAAAACATTTAAGTGGGTAAGAAAACTATTAAAGCTAATTCATTAGACCTGCATATTTTGGGGTCAGTGGTACAGAACATGCACATCAAAGCAGAAAAAGCTTGAGTTGCTAATATGCCCCAAAGCACTGAAGTGAGCAGCATTGCAGATTGTGAATTTGAGAGGTAGGGCAGCCTTAGGCTACTGATTACATTGATGAGGATATGGTAATGACTTAAGCAGCTGTCAGGCGTTAGAGAGACCAAAATCCACATGGATGTGTGGCTAAGTAACAGATGCCTTTAAAACTCTTTGGTTTGTTGCTGTTCAGTAACTTAGAGGAGAACTTTAATGAGGTGACCTCTGCAATATTTTTTATGTAGATTAGGGTTTTTTTCAGTTTTCAAAAGGCTAGTTTCTTAACGCAGTGGATGAGCTCAGAGAGATCTGATTTTAAGAGCTACCAACACCTCTGTGAGGTCAGAGAGCAGAAAGGAGGGAAGAGGGTGATTTTGAGGAATGCTGAATAATAAATCAATTAAATTTATACAGGGTCTTTACAATGCCTAATACAAGTTCATCTGAGAGGAGACACCAGTGATCTTGAAGGTCTCTTTAAGGCCAAATGTTACACTGGACATATGCTGTCAGTTGATCTAATGTCCAGTGGTATTGTAAATATTTCTGACAACCTGACCAAAATCTACTGCCTGAGAACCAGCAATAGAAATAGATGGGTCAGCAACTTGAGGTAAACTAATGACTAAGATCATAATTCACTTTCAGAGAAATTTGTTTTCTCTCACAAAAGTTGCGCAACTAAAAGTTAGGTGCTAGATCAAAACTATTCATCCAAGGCAGTCTGTGGTCAGTGGAGAAAAAAATCTCAAAGGAGTGAATCATGCTGCCCAGGAGCCTATTTTCTGATGTTTGAATTGCTCTCTGGAGGATCTTCTTCTATTATTGTCTGTAGATGATGAATAAAGATGGATGGCATGACCAATTTAAAATGGATATCTAGCTAGTAGAAGGTTAAAATAACAGACTGGAAAAGATAAGTTAAATAATGATGTACCTGTGACAAATTACCCAGTTGGTACTGCTAGATAACTATCTGCCCATATCCTATCCATTTTTCTGTATTCCTAAACTCCAGTGTTTGCAGACCACTTATTAAGTGCATAGAGTCAATGGTCTTTTTTTTCCCCATGCTGTAGTTCCCACAAATGTTCCACGAATAAAATGGAATTGTGCTACTTGGATGGTATTGTCAGTAGCAGGGTGCAAAGTGGTATCCGCCTCAGGAGAGGTGTGGGCAATCACTGACACCTGACCTCAGTTAAGCTTATATAAAGTGCTGAAAAGACCTCATACTGATTATAACAATTCTTTGGGGATCACCATCCTTCCCTCCTGCAGCTCATGTATGGCTCTTTTAATGAGCTGCTCAGTGAACTTGTCCACAGTGAGGCTGGAAGTGAAGATAGTTGAGAACCAATCAGTGATGTGATTAATCACTGTTAACACAAGAGCAGGGCACTGCCGACTGTTGGTATGCACTGTTTGATTTGAACGCATTTATCTGGGGAGGTGGGAGTCTCTCTTTATTCTGACAGAAGCAACCCCGCTGCTTCCAACAGCTGCTGAAATCAGGCATGTTTCATTGCTATTTATCATTGCTATTATCAATGCAAGAAATCATTATCATTGTGCTGAGGTGCTGGACACCTGTTATTCTTTCTTGTCTGAATACTTAAGTCAAATTAATAATATTCATATGCTCTCAGACAAAAAAGTTTTACTGTGTAAATGGTTTTGTCCTGGTCAGAGTTCAATGCCTTCATTTTAGCTTGGAAAATGATGCAGGAGGTATTCAAACTAGCAAGACTGAAGAGAAAATTAAAAAGTGCATAGCTCTCCTTTATAACAGATGTGAATAGCTCTCTATGATGATATTCAGTGATAAAAATCAAGGATCTGTGTATCATTCTTGCATCTCAAAATTACACTGCCTTTTCCCTACTGTTTTTGGCAGAACATTATTAAGATTTTCTTTTGCTTGCTTTGGCTCCGTATTGAAGATGATGGATTGTTACTTCCTTTTGCTGTCAGCTAGCCAGTGAATAGCCAGTTGAAAGGACAGGAATAAAGGACCAAACCCCTTTCCATTACACAAAGTCTTAGAATTTTGACTGGGAAGGCAAGCACTAAATCTATTCCAAATCTGTTTACTGTAGGTTGCCATCCATCACCCTGGTATATGAGTGCCTTCTAAATGAAATAAATGGTAGAAGAGAGGGTGTAGCTGAACAATAACACTCTCCTTGTTCAAGGTAATTAGTAATCCCATCAGGCTCACAAAAGGTTTTTATTGTTTGTGGAATGATTTGCTTTCCCCTCATCCAAATTACTGAAATACAAATGTTCACTATTAAGTAGGTTTGTATAGTGAAAGGCTTCCTTCAGAAAATTGCTTTGGGTTTTTTTGATTTTTTTTGAATCCGTGGAATTTTATGACACAAAAATCCTCAACATTTGTAGTTTCTAAGTTCTTTTGAGAACCTTCTTCACAGCCACCTAGTTTTCAGTTGGTATTTTGGAGTTGTACTTACCTTTATAATCTGAATGTACCTACCACAGGGATGAAATTGTGATGATGTTAAGTATTAAGGTTTTTAATTTATTTTGGTTTAATTTCATTGTAGAGGTTTTAAAATAATTTGTGCAAAGATTAGTTAAGGCCAAAAGAGATATTTCTTTAATTTGCTAGAAATTTTTTATTGCTCTTTTGACATAGCTTAGAAGGCTACGCTTTGTTTCCTGAATAATTAGAAGCTCTAAGATGGTGGTTATTGTTGTTGTTGTTATCATTATTATTATTATTTTTGTTCTTGTACTACTTCTTGTTGGTTTCTTGTTTTCTTTAACATAGAATCTGTTAATTTGAGTTATATAGGTGGCATTTGTACTCTACAGACTGTAGAATATTGGTGAAATGAGTGTTCTCTTCACATTTTTCAAGGGAATATGATCAGGTTACATGCAACAAACAGTTCTGTGTTCTGCTTTTGTTAGTATGTAAGACTGGAATATTTGGTTATGCAGATATTTAAATTTTTTATTTTTCCTTTCAGTTCATGAATTGCTATTAAACTTTGTGGGGTATTAGTGATCTGATCAATACAGGATCAACAAAATTTTGCCTGTTGCAGGTGGATGGTATCTGACTAGTTATCTGAAGGCTGATTGAAATGTAGATTTTTATTATTTTTTCTCCCTTCTTTCTTAAAGAGTGGCAGGAAATGAACTGTGCAGAAAATTATTATATAGAAAATGTTCTAGAAATTTACATGTTTTTTTGCATTCTTTGAAGAGAAACCCAAGAATTCCAGCTATTCTGAATACACTTAATAGAAAAGTAAATATAAACACTTAGCAACATGTCTCTGTGTATATGTGATCTGCCTCCAATATTTACTTGCCAGCAACACTTGCTCATTGCTAACATTTCTCACATATCTCATGCCCATTTTTTCCTATTTCTATAGCCATTTAAGGTGTTTTGTGTGCTGTTCTGGTAGTTTGAAAACAGTAAATAATACAAAATGTTAATGAAGTACTTAGTAACCATAATAGAATACCTGCTTGCACTTTGATTGACAGTTCATTATATGAAATAAAGTCTAAATCAATAAGTGCCCAGCCATTTGTCTGGCATAAGTAAAGACAGACTATTACGATTCCAATATTTCTTAGAATACCAGCCAGATGGAGACTGGTAAGTACCTTGTAGACAAAAATGTGACATATAATGGAATGTTGTCCTGTTGGCATGAAAACTTGAGTATGCTCCATTTATGCACTGCTTAAATAAACTGATTCAGAAAATGGAGATTATAAATATTGTTTATTTCTGCATTACTTGTATTACCCACAACATTAGTAACCAATGGACCATTGAAAGATAGTTTTTCATATTACAAGGGCCAATAAGCTGTGTCACATCAATCTGTTTTCAAAAAGCCTATGTTGTAATGTCCATATTGTAGCTGTGCTTAGAAGAGGTGCGTATTTCAGATGGCTAAGTCAAAATTAGTTGTCCAGGATAACATTTTCATGATTAAGAAGTTAGATTTCCTTTCTCAAGGTAAGCTTGCTCTACTTCTTAATTCAGTCAGTGTGTGATCAAGTTCACGATGCTGTGAATCTCCCTGATTGTGATTTTCCTTTAAGATTCTGCTGACTTGATCATAGCCAAGCTACATTACAGAATAGTAAGTGGAACTTGGACAACTGATGAGCTTTGGCTGAAGTATGGCTTTAGTCTTCATGAAAGATTACAGCATAACATTTAACATATGGTAAAAATTAACGTCATAAATTTGAGTGTACTTTTCAACTTATTTATTTGTACCAGCTTTTGAAAATGTGGTTCTTGTGGCTTAGTTTTCAAAATAATCCTCGAATAAGAGTTGTTAATTATATTTTAAACCTGGTGTTTTATGTAATCATTTAAATCTGAATTTTGGAGAATAATGAAAATATTTGCTACATGATCTTGAAAATTTTGTCTTATTTTTTTAATTTATTTTCAAAAATTACCAATGCTAACAAGAAAAACTTGTTTCTACTTAAGTTTCTATATTCTGAGAAAATATTTTAAATTAGTATTAGAGAAGGATTTTTTTATTTTTTTCCTTATTGTTAGCAAGGGAGCCTTTTGAAAACAGTATCCTAAGTTGTGCAAGTTGTTCCTATTGTTTTGGGTTGGCAGTGAGAAGGGATGTTTTCTCCTGATAATTTCTAATAGCTTAAGTTACTTGCATGCTTGCAGGCAGCCCAACTGTTTATCATTTTCTGTTACAGGCTCTCAAAGTTACAGTGTATGTTAAAGAATTGAAACTTGGGATGTTATTAAAACATTCCTTCAGCAACTATTACTCTATTTAGCTTATGATTCTACAAATATTATCTCTTGACATCTCAAAGTTTGTCAATAACTCTTTGCATGCTGGGATGTGCAACATGCTTAAGAACTGCAACTATTTAATGATGCTTTATTAATTTCAGTGGAATGCTGGGAGGCATATTTTCCAAGTGACATACTTATATCACTGTTCTGGGAATACATCGTGTTTTGCAACAATTACAAC